TGCGTGGCCGCCGCGGGGGCGGCTGGGCCCTGACCCCAGCGGGCCCTCCCAGCCGGTGACGCACGCACACACACGCACACCCCCCCCGCCACCCACCCCCGACAGGCTTTCTCGTACGCGGCTGGCAAGGGGCCCGCCGCCCGTGACATCGGCTGTGTTGACTCGTGCCGCATACATGCGCACGCGTGTTGCGCGGCTATACGCGTCTCCCCTTTACACAAAAAAATAGATCTAAATTCCCTGCGTTTCAGGCTGTTTTGTGACTCAGACGCTGCCTCAAGAACGTGAATCATAAAACCGCGGAATCGTTCCGGGTGGAAAAGACCCTTAAGCTCATCGAGTCCCACCGCTCGCCCAGCGCTGCCAAGGCCGCCACTAAACCACGTCCCTGAGCACCACCTCTGCCCGGCTTTTAAATCCCCCCAGGGATGGGGACGCAGCCCCTGCCCTGGGCAGCCTGGGCCAGGGCCTGACAGCCCTTTGGGGGAAGGAGTTTTTCCTAATATCCAACCCAAACCTGCCCTGGCGTGAAATGTAACATGAAGTGCCTCGGCAAACTTTATCTGTTAATCGGAAGCATTTTTTGTGTTCGGGAGTCAGGCATAAATTTTCCTGACTCCGCCCTCGCTGTGACCTTTCTTGACAAGTCTCTTGGGTCTAAATTTCCAAAGAATTTGTCTGTTAGGCATGTCTCTATTTTTGTCTTGCGTTGGGAGAGCTAGGATTTGATATTTTGGAGCTATGTATTCTCTACTGTGGAAAACAGCACTGCAGGGGTTCCAAAGGGACACAAAGCTGGTGAGGCAATTAAATACCAATTCTGAGTATCCTTGCTTTTACTGAAATCTTTGTCTCACGTCCTTTAACCCCAGGGACCACAGGGAAATCGGCTATGCAAACAACTCAAGAAAGAATAACTTGCTGGATTGATTAACTAGATTTTTATTTATTTTTGTACTGTTAAAAGTTTCTGCAGCTTCTGAAGTTCAAGATAATTTCTGGCACAGGTTATACAATTGGTGCAGCTCACACATAACATGTTATAGCATCCTCTAAGGACAGTAATGATTCACATTCTCCCCTGGTGGAAGGGTACCAAAGAGTAAATATAATTTGTACACCTGCCTTTCATGAAAGACTTTGATAAATATTTCTTGTAAAATTGACAACACAGCTGTAACTTTCTTTCCTATAAGGATATAAAAATGAGCTTTTGCCTTTATAAAAGGCATACATATCCTGAACCTCACAAACAGTACTCTGATTTTGTGAGCAAGACATCCTGAGGAATTTCCTCTACATAGTTTGAGCTATGGTTTAACCATTTTCAGAGCATGCTCAGTACAGCCTACAAATATTACAGAACCCATTCTGGCACCCGTAGGAAAGCTAGGTTTTCAAATGTTTCCAGTTAGACGAGCTGCTCTGCTTGAGACGCCTTGGGCCCCCGGGGCTCCAGCCGCAGCCGGGCAGCAGAGGTGTGGATCGCTTGGGACACAGGAGTCTCAAGTGGAGCAGGTCAGAGGAAAGAGCTCCTCCTGAATGGACGCGTTTGAAAACGCTAGCCTGAACATCTTAGAAGTTACTGCTTTCTCAACAGACGTACGCGTACAACCTCACTAAGGTTAAGAACAGTCGGTGTTCCTCTCTGAACAACTCCTCTCAGTCATCCTAGCAGGAGGATTACATCTCACATTCTTTGAGAATAACTTTCTCTCCACGCGGTGGGATCGGTTCAGTCCTTCTGGAAGAAGGGAAGCAGACATCCAAGCACAGCGATGCTCTGCAAAAGGAAAACATTCTTCCCTACTCACGAGAGGAGTGGGGGGACTTGTATAGCAAGTCACGGTCTCCTCTGGAATACGAGCAAATGTCCAGGAAGCACATTAGCGTACTCTTGGCCTACCAAGGCCTCCAGAGGCTGCAGGAGGGTTTCAGTGCTGCTTGTTTTGCAGGGGGCTGGTGGGTGGCAGCGGGTGCAGAAGAAGAACCAGAGTCCTTAGGTACTGCTTGTGACCTCTGGAAATGGCAGATCAGCTTCATCCGGGCTTCTGTGTTTGCTGAATGGAGAGACAGGAACTGCAGAGCTTCTTTGAGGCACCAGGCATACCCTTCACAATAATCCTGCTGTAGGCTTTTGGCAGATGCTGCAAAAGCTGCAAGGGCAGAAGAGAAGTGTTACACAGGGAGACTCATCTGGAGTTTTGCCTAAAAGTAAGGGCAGCAAGCGCGATCGGGGGATGTACTCACCTCGGCTGTATTTCAGGTAGCTGACGGTCATCTCCAGGATGTCGGCTTTCTCCAGCTTGGAGTTGGGCTGGTGTCTCTGAAACTCCTTCTCCAGGAGCAGTTTCAGCTGCTCGATGCTGCTGTTAATCCGGTCACGGCGCAGTTTCTCTACAATGGGTTTCCTGAGCTGTAACACAAAACGGGAGGAGGAGAGTTAGCAGTGAGACTTTCCCCTTCCCGTCCCTGTATAACCTGCTGCTAAAGGGGTTCGGCCCTTCTCAGCTCTTTGCCCTCGCGGTCGCAGAGACAGCAGACGCTTACTCTGTTCTTCTCTTTGGGTGTTAGGATTTCCAGGGAGAGAGCACTGGGTGCCATTATCCCAAGTGCTGGTTTCAGCTCAGAGCTCGCTGGTCAGCGGGTGGAGAAGGGAGCTGGGAGTTCCTCTATTTATACGCAGTGGCTGCATACAAATGTATGGGTCCTCGGCGACTTTGAGTTTCCCACAGTCGGTAGCCAATCCATGTGTGCCCTGGGACAATAGAGAAAGCATCTATTACAGCATGGCAAATTGACTGTGAATTGCCTGGGGATAATACCCTGCTCCCAAAGGAGCAGGTGGACTGGGGAGTGTGTGACACAATAGGGCTTGGCATTACCGCGCTGGGCTAAGAACGTGGGAAAGCGTTTGCCGTCATTATAATCAAACTTCTGCCTGATGTTGGGAACGTCAACATCTCAATGTGCTGCCTTTTCCCAGGCTGTGGTGAAATTAAGCACAGAAGACTGATCCCAGGAAGAGATAATGCTCTGTGCCCATGACCAAAAGAGAGGTTGAAAAGGAAAAGATGCAGAATTAGAGGGACTAAACCCTTTCATTGACATTAAACCGTGCTTAGATGAATACAGTACCAGATAATTTTCAGGCAACTAAAGACTAAAATCGAGGGTAGAACCTTTAAAACAATCTGCACTAATCAGTTAGCTTGAAATATTTTCCTCTCCCTTGTTGAAACGCTTGAAGTCCCTCTATAAGTTATATTCAGAGCTCCTCCTTGCTTTTGTTTGGGTGATCTGGGCTTTCCTATGGCAGCTCGTGACATGTAATGATTATGATGCCTTTCCCAAACATGTCCTATTTAATTTCATGCCACTTTGCAAATGCCTCACTGTCCCCTTGGTCCCGAGTCTCCACATAAAGCACCTAAATATATTTTGCCTTTACAGACAACTGAGATGGAGTGAAAAGTCAATGCTTGTCTATCACTTTGCTTGTATTATCCCAGTTGCAGAATGTAAATACAGGTGCTGGGATACCCTGTGGCTCTGTTCAGTCCTGGGCTTTCTCGGTGTATGTGCCACATGTATTGCAATGAACACAGGTAACAAAGTGGAAAGGACCAGAGAGAATCCAGGATTAAAGCTGCCTTTTTGAGATATTTTTTCCAGCTATTCTAGGTTGCCTGCTCAGGCCTACTGCCCCCCCGGGCACAATCCAATACAAAGCTAGTCACATTTAAGATCTGTCAGTCAGGCACGTGAGGCCTCGTATTGACAAATTCCCAGTTATGCTTTATGGTCTATCTGTTTCAGCTGCAGGATGTGGAGCTCTACGGGTTTAAAGGGAGTTGTGCATGGGCATAATTTTTTTTCCTTAATGCATGTTCCCTGGTCAGAGGGTAGAACAGGGAGTAAACCTAGGTTGTCGCTAATAGGCTAGCAGGTTGGGGATGTCAGTTTTTGAATACCTGTTTCTTACTACAACAATGTTCATGAAAACCCTACCTATTTCCTACGTCTGCCTTTCAAAACCAGAAAGGAAACCTTCATTTTGCTGTCAACTGCAGTCAGCCTGTTCCACCTGCCCTCAGCATCTCTTTCAATAGGCCAGGGCCAAAACCTGTGTCTGTGGGTCCATAGACAGCAATGTGTTTCAGCACACGCAGGGCTGTTGCATAAAGGGGTATGATCCTGCCAAGGACGATCCTGTAACTAGTTATTAACCTGAAGCTCACAGAGCCCCTTGTAACTTCCTAGCTCCTCCTGGCAGGGATTTTCATAGGTCAGCCGTTCTCCCCTCCTCCCTTTCCAGCCCAAAGCCATTTTACATTTAGATGGATCACTTAGGATGTAACGATTTTAATTGTTGATGGTTGTTGAAAACCTATAATTGAACAGGGAGTATGAGTCCTATTCAAAATCAGTTCCCTGAATTATTTTGTCAGCTTGTAATCAGCAGTATTACTTGCAGCCAGGGCAATCCCTGGTTGCACGTACTTGTGCCATTATTGGAGCTTGAAGTCAAGCACGGGGCTTTGTGCATCTCTCTCAGGGTCACACGAGATGGAGCGGACAGCAGGTCCTGCCATGCACCATATGGGAAGGAATATGTTTGCAGCAGCAGTGGGCACAGTGAGACGGGAGGGAAGCTTTGACCCAATTTTCAGTTCTGGAAATATGAAATGAGTGGTTTTAAATAACGCCATCCTCTCCCCAGCACAATGCCCCTGGACTCCAAAGAGCTAAACCAGCTCCCACTGATTAAAGCATTATCCCTTCCTTTAACTGCGGGGCAGATGGTGCAGCAGGCGCTAGCTTTCTTCTCAGGACCCACAGAGGCACACTTCTTTTGTTGACAGTTTAACACTGTGAATGGGGCGATGTGGGAAACCCTTGGAACTGCGGACTCGCACCATCTGATGTGAATGGTGAACCAGGCACGCTGCCTTGCAGCGAGCACACAAAACAACAGCCCGCTGGGCTCACAAACTCCCGGCTTCTCTCCCCTGCTCTCTGTCAGTTGAAAAGATGGCAAATCTTCCGTTCCCCCCTTGCCTGCTTCTCCTCCCCTCTGTATGCTGCTGATGGATAAAAGAGAAACAAGTATCTCCCCCCGACCCCTTTGGTTTGATTATTAAGGCCTGAAAACTTAATGGCAACAGTATTTCCCAACTGATGCTTCAGAATAATAAATTGTCTAGACTAAGGCTGTCCCTAGAATATATTTATTATGGAACTGGGTGCAGTATGCACTTTCTGCAAGGATTTCGGTAAGGAAAAAAAATCCTCTGCTGTAGGCAGTCCAGTTGCTCTTTGTTAAAAGTCTGTAACTAGTTTGCTCAGTTTGGGCTCTTTTAAAATTCAGCTGTTAGTGCAATAGTCTGTCCCACTGAAACATGTTTGTAATCCAAATTCTTGTCACTGTCCTGCATATCTGTGGGAGGGGTTCGTGCCTCTCTCCGACTGTCGCTGCAGAGCCAGAATGAAAGATTGATTGTCTGAGGCTCAGAAGCAGGGCTTTCCCTGTTTTTGGAACGAAGGATTAAAAGAAACAAATCCCCCAAATTGCCAAACATGTGGAGTTGACTAAATAACGTGACACAATAATTCCTTTCTTTGGAGGATGGTGTGAAATCTGGACCCGCTCTTGAGAGATGGCAGCTATGCTGTGGACAAAGAGGCTTGCTTTCTTGGCGGCCTTGTTCCTCTGTAAAATCACATCACAGTCATGAGTTGCATCGTGAAGATGCAGTCTTCAAAATCGCACGTGAAAACAGGGAGGCGTCTCCACTCCCGCTTGGTACAGGTATTGAGGAGTGTAATGGGAAGCAGAAATCTGCAAACAATTGTCAATGTCTGCACTTACAGACCTCGCCCGTCAGGCAGGAGTCCTCGCTTTTCCTAAGGCAAGAACCACCACGTTAATTGTCTCCAACTGTAGGTGCTCACCGTTTGACCCTGAGCTATGCTGTGCAATCTGTGTGCCATAGATCGCTTGGAGTTGAGGAACAACCACAGAGGAGCCAGCAAAGGCAACTAACCAACCCCAAGACTATCATCAGTAGGCTTGTGTTCATTATAGTCCATAAATCAGAGCAGCTGGAGGACCGCTAGCCTAGGAAATCGGTGCTGGGCCGTGGAGGTTTCTGCTCCTGGTTCGTAGGTGGTGATTTCAGCCCAGGTGCAGACGTATTACGCACGCTCTTTTCACAAAAGCTGCCACCTCTTGTAATGCCAATTGGCAGCTTTCTTAACCCATCTGATGCTTAGCTTTCCGTGGAGGGGAACCCAGTGTATTGCGATGTAGCAACAGGTCGGGAGGAAGGTGGACTATCAGAGAAGGGTACAGAAAACCAGAATTTCATTGTCTATGTTATGCAGGTCTATAAAGCAGTGCTCCATTATGTCTGGGGCTGTACTTATAGCACACAACTTGATGGCTTAAAGCTTTCCTTTCTATATCACTTTTAGAACGTTTTTATTTTAAACCATTTCCTACATTCGTGCCAGCCTGCCTCACAAATGCTATTGATGGTCTTTCTAAAGAAATAATTATGATTTTTATTTTTTCTGTGCCTTCCTTAAATGGTTTAAAATCTTTCTGACAACCCCTCTCAAGACACCTATTTAGTGTCAAAGAGCATAACGTTCCCAAGTTTTAAAAGGGCTCTCGCATAATACTGATCGATCAATGTGCTCCTTGGGAAAATAGCTCTCCAGATGGTCTATCGGGACAGGAATTGCTGGTCATCACAATGCAGAGCCAAAAAGCGTCACTAATGTGGGCTGTTGTGAGGCACGCTTCCTTTGTGGTCCCTTTCAATGTCTTAAATAGGGAAGAAAGTGTGGGAAACTCTGAGAAACTCAGGCCCACACTCTGAGGTTAATAGGGGCTTTGTCAGGAGAGTATTCCTGGGCTGTGGGATCAGCATAATAAACAACATCTTTCCTAAGGGTGGGAATGTGTTGGAGCAGGGGAGAGTCACCCCAGGGGACAGAGGAGCAATAAGAAGCTTTGCATTCAATTATTATAAGTGATAATAATTAATAAATTGTAAACATAACCTTTGCTGGGCTAAGACTGGTGAAACCAGAGGTCTGGCTTTTAACTCTCAAGTAATTGGTAAACTAAAGCCCAGAGGGGCAAGTCTTTGGCTGGTGAAAAACAGAAGCGGTGCACTTGCACCGGCCATAGATCTGACTCCCTGGAGCAAACGGAGGCTTGCTGGTGGGCTTTGGTTTCTCCCCCCTGCCCAGAAAGGAGGCGCTTGCTGATTCTCTCCCTTACACCACTCTGCAGACAGGAGGTCTGAATCTCGCGTACGCCAGCGGCTAGGCACGATCCGCTCCCCCGCTATAGCCAGCGTAATGTAATACGGCCTCAGTGTAAAGGAGAATCGGACCTCATGGTCTGAATGACAGTAGCCGTGTCTCTCCAGACTTATGCCAATACGGGCGGCAGGAGTTCTGGGCCGAGAAGTCTGACTGTGATCTCGCGTGACTTTTGCACAGTTGTCATTTCCACGGCCTGTTCCTGTGTTAGCCTAGAACTGGAGCGACTGGGTTCAAATTTCAGTTTGTGCAGCTCTTCTTTGGTTTCCTGTTGTCTTTTCCGTGTGTGCTGTCAGCTGTAACCAAACTGCAGTGATGCTGCCAACTGTGACCTTCACAACGTGGTTTGCTTGGGTGGTCACACATTAGCTGCAGAAGATACCCGTCCACGTAACAGCAGCAGGCTTCTCCGTGCCACGTGTGACTCCATTCCCAGTCCCTGCGGTGCGTGGTCAGGTTGCGGTGTGCTTTGGGGCACATCGCTGCATTTTGACTGAGTCTGAACTCCCCCAAACTTCCGATCCACAAACTGCCTTAATTAGGCTTTATTTAAAAATGCGCAGGCATGGATGAACAGCTTGGATTTTGCTGGGACTCAGAAGCTTGTACTAATTGACAAAGACATGTTGAGCACAGCAAGGTGAAGTGACTTTTTCAAGATTGCTAAGCAACCACAAAATCTAGAAATATCTCTTCTGAATTATTTAGTCATTCACTAGGAAGAACAAATCTATCATCTGCAGCATTGGTATCAGCCCCCATGAACTGCAGAACTGTATCAAAAACCCACCTTGTACTGCATTGGCAGACAGATGAAGCTCGTGTATTCAGGGTAAAATAATAACCAAAATGATCCATGCAACTGTAATGAGGTAGAGCCCTATGTTCTTGGCCTGGCTAGCTGGCTTTGGTCCTTTCCATACGTATAACAAAGGGTTTAATCACAAATGGGGTGAGGACTGGCCAGGTACAGCCAGCAGTGTTTGAATGCAGTTTCATCTTGTCAGCTTCGCAGATCTGAGTTGGCTTAGTGCTTATCTAAGCAGCCACTTGACAAGATCAGATATTCTAGGTTTCCTTTTGCTTAAGGAAAAAAGCAAATGCTAGAAATGAAGTTTTCAGGGGCATCTCTCCCAGGGAATTTGGGGAGAGCTGAAATTGGTGACCAATGGTGTTTCATGCTGCTACTATATCTCTGGAAGAATGAGAGGGTTCCCTGTCATGTACCCAAATGAACGTGTTACTGTGGGTAGATGATGGTTTTGTGAACTGATTATTTGTGCAGATTTATTCTACTTTGAAGAGAAGGGCAAATAAAAGGTGAATAGTCCCCACTGAGCAATGAATGGGAGCTCTTTAAAAGAAAAGTGAGTGAATGTTATTGGGGAAAGTGTTGTCTTTTGGAGAGATTGTTGGTATTTAAGGTGCTGAGGGGTGGCTTTAGGATCTCCTTCTTGTGCTTTTCTTCCTGCTTCCCCAAATACCTTCTGAATCCCTTTTCGCCTGTTCACCTCATCTGTTCCCTCTCTGTGTAGCTGTGCGGGAGAAGGACAAGCACACCCTTTGCAACCGGTGCTAATCTTCCTCACGGCACCGGAGTGTGGCTGCCTCACTCCTCAGGAGGTGGGAATCGGGTGGCCTGCACGCAGGGCGTTGCAGAAGGGTCTAAGAGGGCTGGAGCGGAGGCTGCGCACGGATGCCGCAGGGCCTCTCTCCGCAACTCCCGGGGAGCCCGGGCTGCTTACGTTGGGTCACCCAGCTGGTGCAAGCCAGGTGGGCAGGCTGTTGTAAATCTCCGGGTAAGAGGATATGCTAGATTTGTTTTCTGAATTGAGGTGGGGTGAAAAACTCAAGGGAGGATCGTCTAAAAGATACTTGGCAGAGAGACCGTTTCTACAATAGGCTGGACAGAAAAACCCTCAAAAGCCTGGTGGAGTGTGGCAGTTTCTCAACTCCGAGGCCCAGGCCCTATTCCTGGCATGGTTTGGACCCTTAGGTGGATGTCGGAGAAAGGGAATAAAATGTTTGAAGAAAAGAAGAGTATGGGGAAATAATTTAGGAGAGGAAATGCTTTTTCAATCTCTGTTTGCTATCAAATTATATATACTTTTAGCCATATACGGGCAGATTTCACTTCAGTAAAGAAAGCAATTCTGTTATTCCCTAACAGAACTCATGTTTAGTTAACAGAAGGTGCTAAAACTAAAAGACAACAAAAAGTAGCTCACCCCATTGCGGGTGGTTTCAAAGAGGAGGGTAAGATCCCCAAGCAGAGTCAGGTGCCAAACCCTTTGGAAGTTATTAGGAGTTTTGCACATTGCTACCTCCTAAAGGGACAGAAAGTGTAAGACTGAACTCAGGTCGGTGGGTAAACTCATGGGGAACGGGGGAAATAAACTGGCTGTGAAATCAGTGATGTGCTGAAGTCTGAACAGGTTGCTGTTAAGTATCTGGGTCTACACCTCTCAGTATCTCACTTCAATTTCACCTCCGTTTTAATTTTTGGTAACTTTTCCAGAGATTGCTTCTTTGAAGGATCTGAAATCCTGTTCTGCCAAATGAATTTCACAAATATAAACTATGTAGGGGAATGAAGGGCTCAGAAATATGACCTCTCCTGATAGCTTCCCCCCTGCAGGAGGAGCCTACATGCAACACTTAGTCCAGGACTATTAGCCACTTTAATCATTTCAAACCAAAGGATTAATGACTAAAACCATTTTTATTGTACTGTACAGTGAAGACACCAAAGTTGAACATCACACAGGATGAATACATCACAACTTTATAAAAGCTTTTTAAGCTCTTTAGCATGTTGGGTGAATGATTATAAAGTACTTATTGCCTCCCTTCCTCTCCCTTTTCCTTAAGGTATATCACAGGCATTTCCTTTACAAAAGGCATCAATTATCCCTCAGCTGAGAGCAGCACACACTGACACCAAGAGAATTTTCCCTAGAGCTGTTATCATCATAACTTTCTGTAAGAAGGCATACTAAAAATAGCATAGGAACTGCAGAAGAATCAGCATTTCTTAATAACAGCTTTCACTCAAAAGGTAAAGGCTCAATACTCTCTTTATGATACAAAATACATTCTTCAAAGTGCTCCTTCTTTAGGAAGGTCAATACGTTATCTAGAGACAACGGAGCACTTGAACCAGTGACCCAGGGAGTTAGCAGAGAGATTTCCACTGGCAGCCACAGGCTCAACAGCCTTGCCAAGCAAAAGTGTGATGGAAGCTGAACGGTATTTGGCGCTCTAAATCACTGCAGAACTTGGTCCTCTCTTTGGCTAGGAGCCACCAATAAAAGCAGCAAATTTGCTGCAAGATACAAACACATTCCTTCACTATGAAGGGAAACTACTCAGCAACCCTCATTTCTTGTGACAGAAAAACAATAATGCCCCCCCCTCCCACCTTTGGAAAGCAATGTTTCCTACTTTACAGAGGAACTATTAAATCACAGGTCCCTCTAGTTTTTTTTTTTTTAAGCAAGTTTCAGCGGGTCTCCCGGGGTCCCCAGATGGTAGCAGCAGCAGCCACAGTCTTCTGGGCAGGTTGCTTTCTGGCAAACAGACAGGGTGACAGAGGTGGGCTATGCAGAGCAGGAGCATACATGGCATCTGCGCCCATCTGAGCTTTGCAGAAATGCTTGATTAGCTGCACCTGAGTTTCCTTCTTGGGTTCATAGTAGGACAGAAAATGCATAGCTTCCTTGAGGCACCGCAGGTATCCACTGTTAAAGTCCTGCTCCAGATTCTTGTGAATGAATGCTAGAAAAGAAAGAAAGCAGCAAATGCAGTGGGTTAAGATCATGACCAAAACATGGGACAGTGGTGATTCATGCATTAAGTTTCTTTCAACAGCCTGAGTCCACGAGCCTTGCTCATGGGACTAGGCCTGGTGTGCTAGAGCCCCGGCACGCGCCAGGGGCAGGGCTGTCCGGGAGGGCAGAGGCCTGTGGGAGCAGGCGTTAAGCGGTGTGCAATAGGTGCCCTGCACTCACTGTGGTCCTGCGCCTGGCTCTGCTGCTTCAGGTAGCTGACAGCCACTTCCAGGATGTCGGCTTTCTCCAGCTTGGAGTTGGGCTGGTGTCTCTGAAACTCCTTCTCCAGGAGCAGTTTCAGCTGCTCGATGCTGCTGTTAATCCGGTCACGGCGCATTTTCTCCACCACCGGCTTCCTCAGCTGTAAGAGAGGTGGAGCAGATCGTTCAGGCTTTTCTGAGACCTGACCTAATTTCCCCTTCTGATGCCCTGATACACACATGTTCAAAGACGCTTTCTTTTGGTAGGAGAGCTTTGCAATGCTGCCTACCTGTTCCCCACTCAATTTCATTTTTAAAAATCTATATAGTCTCCTTTATCTCTCTTTAACCTATTTGCCTTTCCCCAAACCACCTTTTCCCTCCTTATCTTTTCCCATGTAGTATTTATTTGACAGAGGCAGCCCATTGCATAGAGCACAGCCCAGCCTTTCCAATCCTGTCAAGGGCTCTACTTACTTTGTTCTTTTCTTTTGGCAGCAGTTTCTCTTCCATGTGGATCATGAGAGTGGTACTGGGAGCCATTCTTAGTGCTCTCAGTCCTGGGCACAGACCCCCACCTCGGGCTGCTGTGCTGAGCGTAAGACTATGCTCCGGCACTTACCGACTGCCTCTATTTATACATCAGGGAGCTTCAGCAGACATGGGAGCCTGGGGAGCGCTGGTGTTTCCCACAGCCGCTCAGCCAATCCAGGCACGCAGCTGAACAATAGAGGAAGCATCTATTAGTGCATGGTACATTGATTGCGAATGCCCTGGAGAGAATAACCTTCTGCCCACGCGGCCTGGTGGAGTGCACAGCGTGGCTCTTCAGGGCTGCCCGGGGACCTGGGGAACCACTGACCCTCCAGCTGGGCATCTGGGATCAATGGCATTCGTGAGTCTCCGCACGTGCCAGTCACATTTGTGGGGTGGAGGAGGCACGCTTTTGGGGGAAGGTGGGAAAAGAAGAAGAAGAAGGGGAGCACTGTTTGGGTCAAAATCAACAGCACCAAGGACACCTCTCTACTCTTTCTGGAGAGGGCACTTTACCGCCAGCCTCCCAGGTGCCGTCTGCCAGAGTGTGGGTGTAATTGCACTTGTCCATACAATCATTACACCTCTAATGGGTGAGCCAAAGCGTTATCAGTGTGAAACGACAGGTTTGTTTGCATGACGCTTCTAAATGCTGTGGAGAATCTACAGGCAGGATGGTGGGATGTTGGATGGACAGGGTGAATAAATAGGGAATGGGAAGGAAATGGAAATGGTAACGGTAACCTCTGTCTCCCTCTTCACACACCAAGCTCTGTGAGCCCGTTGCACCAGTGTTCCCATTGCCTTCATTAAGGATGGCCACATACCTCCTAGCAGAACTGGGCCCATGCCTAGTCACCCCTTTCCTTTCCCTTTTCTACTCTTTCATACAGATGTTTACAAGAATGATGGTTAAGATGGGCTAAAGAATAGCATCAGATTCTACCCAGAAGCCCTAGGCCTTGGGAAGTCAGAGGCAAGATTTAGTGAATGAGATTTAGTAGCCAAGGCCCATCTTTGGACCTCAGCAAGGAGGTCTGTTCTGCCTCCTGCCTGAGATTCCTGGTGTGCTCTGTCCTCATCTGCCAGGGAGCATCACGCTGCCCCACTGCAGACTGGACCTGCCGTAATTTGCAGAACATGAGATCTCAGGGGCCACGTAATTGCATCCCTGTGTAACCTTTAGCATGTCATCCCCACTCCATTTTCTTATCTGGAAAATGGGGATAGTGCTGCTTGCTTCTCTTTGCACGAAAATGTCAATAAAAAATAAGCAACCATTATTTCTTATATTTCTTATATTCTTCATATTTTCTTTAGGTTGGATATTAGGAAAATCTTCTTCACCGAAACGGTAGTCAAGCATTGGAACAGGCTGCCCAGGGAAGTGGTTGAGTCCCTATCCCTGGAGCTATTTAATAGCCAGGCAGACGTTGTGCTCAGGGACATGGTTTAGTGGTGGGCTCGGCAGTGATAGGTTAACGGTTGGACTCGATGATCTTAAGGGTCTTTTCCAACCTTAATGATTCTATGATTCTTTTGTAGCAAAGGCAAGAAAAAGAATGAAGTTGTGTGGACACTTTAGGTCAATTCTGATTTTGTCTTATGAGAAAAATCTCTACCTGGATACAGTCCTTGAGGCAGCACTGAAAATAACCCAGAACCCCGCTGAGAGAAGCTGCGCGGCATCCTGCCCTCCGAGGGTCTAGCCTCTCGTGCCCGAGGCAGCGGCATGCTGCTCGTCTCCCAGCGCGCTGCCTGTGCACGGGAGCGTGGCTGAGGGTCTGGAAAGGGAAATGGTGGAGGGAAGCGTGCAGTGAGGTGAGAAAGCCAAAGACAATTTCTTACTTGGAAATCCTGAAGCGAAGCCCGAGTTTAACGGGCAGTTGACAGGAAGGAGGGAGGTGTCACTGAAATAGCCAGCTTCGTGGTTTTCATTGTATGGGCCTGAATGGGCTTAGCTCTTTGTGAAGGGCAGATGTTGTCCTTGGAGCCCTTTATTCCCTGCGTTGTGGGAAAGCCAGGAGACAAGACATCTCATGAACACTTTGAAGCAGTCAAAGGATTATGATACAAAATAAGATACAGCTCAGAGACCATGCCCTAGCTTTTGCCAGCTATAATAAGGTGTTGCCCTTTTTCCTGTATTCTTTGGCTGGCCTTCCTCCAAAAGCTGGTGTTCTGTGTTATCCCTTTCCGAGCAAGGGAGCAGTGGTGGCAGGCCTTGAAGCTAGGAGCTGACAGGTAGGCATGTACCAAGCTGGTTGAAGAGACTCTTCAGTGTCAAAAACCATCTTTTTCGCAACTCCTGAGAAGCAGCCCTGACCTTTATTGCTGTATTATAACTGATAGCCAGATGGTCTTTTGGGAGTTGGATTCTTTCCCTTTAAATCATTCAGGCTCAAGCACCGTCACTAATGTCGTGAGTAGTTGCAAGGCACACTTCTATTGTCCCAACAAGAAATGTTATCAATAGGGGAAAAGTATGGGAAACGCAGAGAAATTCAAACCCACACAGCCTGGTGCTAATAACTCCTTTGTGGAGCCTGCACTTCTGTCAAGGCGCGATGAACTCACATGGCTTTTTCAGCGAGGAATGCTGAAAAGCACATGTTTCCCTGTGCAGGCAGGGGTTTCTCAGAGATCTGTGTTTACCAGGAGAAAGGGGCAACCTGGGGCAAGGGGGCAGAGACGCTGGTTCACACACCGGGGTGGCCCACACCGGGGTGGCGAGCAGGAATACCCAGCCCAGCTGCGGCACTGCCTGTCCCGGGGCTGCTGGTTTGCTTCACCGTGCCTCAGTTTGCTCTTCTGGGAAATGGGAGTGGTGCTGCTAAACTCCTTCACGGAGCGCTCCGGGAATCAGGAGCTGAACCCCTGTCTGTGGTGGGAGGTAGGGACAGGGCTGAAGTGGCCCTCGTGCTTTTCTGGCACCCCCCAGGGATGCTGCTGAACGCCTGCGAGAACAAAGTGGAGAGAGAGCATCTCTGGGGACAGTGCTCCTCTGCAGTGGGAGTGCTGAGGGAGGCCTCTTCTCACTGTCTTGCAGAGGAGTTTCTTTTCTCCCCATCTGTTGGGAGCCTGGCAGAGAGACTTCTTCCCTGGGCCACCCCTTTGTCATCACGGCTGCCTGGAGAGCAGGGCCTTGCAGGTCTGTCCCGGGTGCAATCTGATCGCAAGTGGGCTTTTGTCTCTTCCTCAGGCCAGCCCACGGTTAGCGCTGCTGGCAAGGCTTATTTACGCAGGTGAAATGGAAGGCTTTTTAGGGCCAGGCTAGCTCCGATCCCACTCTCACAGGGAATGTGCTAGTGGCAGTATCACCGAGGAAGACAGCAGCAATGAGAACACCTACCAAGTAGACCTGTGCTTACACATCTACCTGGAAATTATTATCTTTGAATGCTTGATGAAGCTATTGGGTCTGTTTGTTCTGCCACACTCATACCTTACTGTTGTTGGGTGGGCTTGTCCTAATGTTTAAGATTCCTGAATTTTAGCACCACAAATCCCTGCAGTATTACCACATCCCTTCATCATCCTCATACTCTTATGTCTCGCTCTGTGGAGGTTTCTTGGATAAGGTTTGAAAAGACAGGGTACTGCCTGTTTGAGGTGAACCCTAACGATCCTTTGACAGTTCTTAACTTATGAGCCACTGCTTACTTTGGTGTCACAGATGAAGATCCCTTCTCCTGCCCCGCCAGGTGCACCTAACCCTGCCCATCGTGTTCTGCTCGGGGTGTTTCAGCGATACTACATTCTACACAGGAAAAAGTTTAAAAATGGTTTGACATGGGAGGCAATATATAAAGAAATCATCCTGCCAAACTCGCTATTCAGGATTGGCTTCTTCTGCTCTCACAAGCCAAGCGTAATTCTGCTGTCTGAACCAACGGAGTGGAAGCGTAGTGAAATCTGCCTCTTTCAGGGGGAAAGGTTATGTTGTTATTAAACCTATTGTATAAAATATTCCATTAAATATCATTAGCATGGCATTATCTTGCCTCTTTTAGACATTAGAACCCTGGCAAAAAGGGGTCTTTTATTACTGTAAAGTACATTCTTCACAGGTTTAACCTTTTTAAATTAGTTTTTCTTTAGATCCAGAATGCTTAATATACTGCCATTCCCAGGTGCATAAGTGAAGGAAAGTGGAATTTGATCATTAAGAAACATATGAGACAATTTGATCTGCATTTTCAGGGTTGTTAGAGGCAAAAGCAATTTCTATAGCTGCTTGTGTGGGTGACCCTGAAATAGTCATGCACCAATGACATAGTCTTTCTACAGTGAGTATTCCAAATAATTAAAAATTAAGGAGAATTTATTATTTTTCTGCCCAGCTGACATTCCCACAAGTCACCTCTCAGCATATTCAGGAGTGCACAAGAGGGATTTATTATTTCCTGGTATATTGACTCTGAAAGGTCTGGGGATTACAGCTGCTTTGCACATGAATAGCTGGAGTGTGTTGTACAAAAGGCATGGGCTGTGGGATAATGGGGTTGGATGTGGGAAAGCGCTGACCCTGGGGGAGAGCAGGCTGGTGCCTGATGGCAGGAATCAATTATGTCTCAAAGGAACACATTGCCCTGGGAGCAGGCTTTGCGGGAGCCACCATGTTATGTGTTTACCACCCTCCTCCTTCAAAAACCCATATAAAACAACCACAGGATATATCCTATCCTTCTGCTTTTACCAGGGGGCTCAGCTACACCTTTCTCTATAGGTACTCCAGTCAGTGCTAAGTTGGTTGTGATTGAGTGATATAACTGTTCCCCATCTCAGCAACGGGGCTGAGACCCAGCAGTTATCTCACAGGTGCTACCAGGCGGTTTTGAGTTTTGCTGTGAAGCACCCCAGATACCGCTGCCTTCAGTGGGAGCACACGCGCCCCAAAAGTCCTCCGCAATCCGCAGACCCCAGCAGTCAGTCACCTCCAGCTCTGGCCAAGGAGAACAGCCTCCGCTGACAGGGAGTGGAGGGAGCAAACACCGAAGCTGCTGAGT